TCGGAGATCGCGTGAATGTGGAAGGCGTGGCCCGAGCCGTTGCGAAGGGAAAGAATCGGCCAGACCTGGGACTTGGCGTCGTCCAGAGAGGGGCGGGAAGCTCCTGCGGATGATGTGTCCGGCCAAAGCGTCCAGCCTACCGGGTTGATCAAGCGAGGCATTCTTGTCGGCGTCGTTTCTCCAAAGCACTGACTCGAGTTTGCCGACGGTGGCTGTTGCGTTGGGTGGGCGAAGGGAAGGCGAGGACTGACTTCACACCAATGTAATGCATGCTCTTTGTGTCATATTCACCGCTGCGTGACGGATCGAGACCCTAACGCCCCACAAAGGGAGAGCACGTGCGCTCGATCCGGCATGCGTGCGAATAGCTTTGAGACGAGGGATCCCATTCGTGATTGTCATTGCTGCTGTACTTCGTCTCAAGTCAGAATGCCATCTCTGCCAAGAAGAGCGAAGGGAGCAGAATTTGGAGATCAGCATTCACTGGTGTGTAGAGACGCAGATGTCTAGTGACTGTTGAGCTCAGGACCCAAGATGATTTGAAGAGCTCACGATTGACGATTGACGATTCAAGATTGCCTCGCGCGATCTCGCAAGCTGCGGGGTTGCGGATTCAAAATTCAGATTGTGAATCAATGAACCACGCGCCAAACGCGTCGTTGGTGTGGATCCAGCGCGTCACATTAATTCACGACTGTGACTGGCCAAGTCATGCACGCGGTGGTGACTGGTGAGTTTGAGTCTTGAGTGGAAGGCAAAGTTAGATTCAAGATATTCTTGATTCAAAGTTCACAGATTAAGGTCGATGCTTAGTTCTCGATAGAAATTCCAAGGAAATCTCACCACATTAAATTCTTGATTTCAAGCCTTGGAACCATGAGGCTGCGCTAAATTGCGAGATTTGAAATCAGAATACCACAGATCTTGAAGGCATCGCTCCGCATAGGCAAGCATTTCGCGTCAAATCACACCTCGAGGCGCTTCAAGCTTCCACAACACTCCTCTCTTTGGCCTATACGCTGGATCAATAGGGCGCAGCAGAATGGTGCTGCAGAACAAGTACAAAGCAAGAGCATCTCGAAGGTACGCGGCCACCCACTCAGGTTCTTCGGAAGGTGCAGATTCCAGCCGGGGCCGCGGAGGTCGAGGAGCAGCAAGGGGAGGTACTGGGAGCAGAGGGAGGGGAGGGAGAGGCCGCGGCGGCGGCGATGGTAATAATACAGTGCGGTGGAGTAGACACGATGAGGGCGAAGAGGATGGTGGAAGTGGTGAGGGTGAAGAAGAGGAGCAGGCTACGGACGACGAGCAAGAAGTAGAGCTCAATCCGGCCTTTCCATCGCTCAAGAATGGATTGCGTCACACATCGCATAAAGCTGAGCATGTCACGAAGACTACTGCCAATCAAACGGCGGATGGTGAGCAGTCTACGGGAGGCATCCCTTCGCACCAATCCACAGGCCTTGAAACGAGTGCGACAGAGGAAGCGTCCGAGTCAGAACCAGAAGTGGACATCTCCAACCTGCTTGCTCGAGTGTCTGCTCTCGGTGAAGATGCGCCAGTCCAAGGATTCGCTGCAGGCGATACGCGCGCAGATGGCAACGTCACAGGTCAGATTCATGAGGACTTCAACGTGCAAAAAGACACCGATCAATCATTGGCGTATCTCCACGCGAGGCAACAGACGAGGGATGCTCGCACACGGAGCGCCATGAAGCGGGCAGACGAGAGCTTCAGGAAAGATCGGGCATCTGGTGCGGACAATGAGATGTCAGCAGAAGAAAGAGAGAGAAGAAGGAAGGAAGAGGAGGAAATGCTGAAGGAGAGGGAAAAGGCCGAGGCGGTCACATGTGAGTCCGTTTGAGTCGACTGCCGCACGTCTCTATCTCTTCATCAGCGGTGGCTGACGGCGTGGCTATCCCTGCCCCTTCCACCAGCTCTGAAAGAGCGCTTCAGGGGGCACAAAGTAGGGGAGCGAAGGGAAGCTGCAGCGACGAGAACTTCCGCATCGTCTGCTGCCAAAGGCGGCGAAGTACGCGCTTCTCGCGCGCATTCACAGCATCCAGAAGACAGGCGACTCAATGGCCCAGCTCTTGCTTTGCAGAGATCGACCAATACAGATGATCTAGATGCCCTGCTCGGCATATCTTCTCCACTCAGATCATTTTCAGCAACCTCTCGGTCTCCAGCGCGACCGCCTTCGCCATCAGCGTCCTCTGCCGCTTTGCTGTCCATGGACGGAGCGGCATCCCGAGGCCCCACCTCGGAGGTGACCCTGACTGCTCTCGAACGGGAGAAACGTCGAGCCCAAGAGGCGGAACAGCGTCGTGCGAAGGGCGAGGCAGCGCTTCAAGAAGCCCTTCAAAACATGGGCATCAAGAATACTGGCCATGCAAGTCAGGGCAAGGGCGATGCGAGGAAAGCCGAGACTTCCAGAGCGAAGACGACCGCTCTCGACTCCCACCAGGAGTTCTTGGACGAGATGCTTGGCTGAGCGATTGGTGTGGGCCAATAAGCTCCCTCATCGTCAATGACAGAGCCGGGGCAGCTGCTCGCCTCGACACAAGCCAGGCGCTTTCCCCAATGCACGACGCGGACTTCCCCGTGAGCGCCTCTGCTGCTGGCAAGGTACTCGCATGCCGAAGGCTTGCAATCCTGCGCAAAGCCTGTGGTCCGCCGATGGACCCTTGCTGAGACCACAGAATCATCAAAGACTTAGAACGGGTAGGGCGTACATCCGCCACCAGATCAGCAGGTCAGGTCTATGCGTCTACAAGCAGTCCGCCCGTGCATGCCGGGGACACCTCTGGACGCTGTACCATTGCGCGGGCACTGTGCATGTACTTGGCAGAAGCGGCTCATCCACCGAACATCGCAGATGGGCACGAGCACATTGCTATTGCTGGTCAAAAGATCAACGGTGACTAGGGTGACATTGAAAGGAGGGGACTTCTATAGGGCAGGTCAAAGGCAGCTTGATGTGGCGGGGAAGCAGCCACCGAGGGTGATTGAATGCGAAGAGCAACATGCAAAGCAGTGGTGTGAAGATCAAGCACGCTAGACGGGCAAGAACCCGCTCAGTGCGAGTACGGTCCAAAGTTGAAAGTGGTCTTCTTCAGGAAAGGATATGCGTTCTGGTCGATGCGCTTGCCCGTGGAAGGAATGAGCGGAATCAGCGCGTCGACGACCTGACCGATGATCTCGTCCCAGAGGTTTTGCCGCTTTTTTACGGCGCCGGCGTTTCGTCGAATAGCGTAGCTGGTGACCACTGCGCCGGATCCGTTTGGTCCAGTGGTATAAGTGACCGTGCTCTGCTGCTGATAAGTCTTGTAGAGAGCGCACACTGCTGCTCCTTCTTTACCGCCATTGAAACGAATCAATTCGGCCATTGCGCAACCTTTGACCCTCTCGCAATTCGCGGCACACGTGTTGGCTTGTGACCCACCGAGCCAGGTCTGACCCAGCGTACTGCGAGAGATGAAGCCGGTAGAGGCTGCGTACGAAGAACGCTTGCCTTGAATAGTCCAGCTAATTCTGTATCCGTTGGGTGCGGTGACGGCAGTCGTTGGCGTAGATGCTGGCGGCGCTGCGGTCGTCGTTGTCGGCGCGGGTGGCGCCTGAGTGGTCGTGGTGGTGGGTGTGACAACAAAGGTAGTGGTACTTGTAGTGGTGCTGGGCAGCGCGGCAGTGTTGGTGCCGGTGATCGTAGCGGTGTTTGTGATGGTGGAGTTGCCTGTAGAGTTGGTTTGGGGGTATGATGTGGTAGCAAAGGTGACTGCTTTGCGCAGGTTGTTGGTAGGGCATCCGTTCGAGTCGCGTGCAAAGGCATAGTCGTCAAGGTTCGAGGGAATCCAGCCTTGCGCCATCGCGTCTTTGTAAGACCAGTCGCCTCTGCTAGCCGTCTTCCAAGACCACATGATCCATCCTGCAGACTTCTCGTACGTGACTTGCTGTGCCTCCCAGAACCTCCGCATGAAGAGATTCTGCGTCGCATTGTTTTGAGCGTTGATGTTGTCGCTCATCGTTGCATAGCTACAGTTGGTGCACCGTGTGGCAAGGCTGAACTCTCCCACGAATGTGGGCCGTACTCGGTTGGCATTGCTGAGCTCGGATGAAAGACCGCAGGTGTAGCTGATATGTTGGTCCCAGGTGTAGTCCACTTGAGGGGCCCAAGCTTGGTATCGATGTGTGTCGAGAGAGGTGGTACCTGCGGTGTAACCTTGTGCTGTAGTATATGAGCTGTCCCAGTCGCTCAGCGGCTGGTCAAAGCCATCGTGAAAGGTGATGGAAGGAATGATGGGGGCATTTGAGGTGATGTTGCCCATGATAGCTTTGTACGCGGGCTTGTGTACTTGAGAGACCATCCATGTTCTGGTGAGATTGCCGTTCCACATCTGAGGTTCGTTGAGGACACCGATCGACTTGATGACACCTCCGTAGGATGGATCGTTGACCCATCGCTTGACGGACTCGGTGAGAGCAAAAATCAGACGGTTGACGTTATCAGCAGGATTACCTCCTTCATTTTTGAAACCAACTGGTCCTTGTCTGCCGCTGTTGTCGAAGCCGTTTTGACCTGCGGCAAACGTTGAAGCTGCTTGTCAGCCTAGGCAACAAAGGAGACGATCTGGCAGCGTTCTACTCCCGTCACTCACTGTAGGGAGCTGTGTGCATGTCAAATGTGACGTCAAGGCCGTACTGCTTGGCCCACCGCAAAGCCTTGTCTACGTAGGGAATTTCGAGCCCAGAACCTATGTAGGGCTCGCCACTAGTAGTTTTGAGCGCTACCCCTGCGGCATCTCCGAACATGTAGTGGGGCACTGGCAAACGAATCGTGTTGAGACCAGCCGCCTTGATCTGTCTGAAGTCATCTTCTGTGATCCAAGAGTCGTAGTGGCCTTGCAGAAGTGAGGCGGAGCTTGCAGGATCGTTTATAATCTTCATCAAGGTCCAAGTGTCTATGGCTCCTTGAGCAGAGTAGGGCGCGAAAAGCTCTGGCTGCATCCATGCTTCCAAGACCAACCAATTGCCTAAGTTGACTCCGCGGATCTTGCGGCCAGTGCCAAAGCCTGAGTTTGCAGCTCGGGGAGCAAGGTGAGACGATTGTGATGAGCCCACTGCTGGTGCCGCGTCCACGCGCGCCAACACGATCGCCGCAAGAGCGACCGTCAGCAGAGACAGCAA